GACTTTGTTTAACCTTCCCCCACACTTAAACTAAATAACACAAACTCACAGAAATCAACCAAATAACACAACTAACTAAACAAAACAAAATGAAAGCAGTAAAGATAAGGGTGTAAGTTGAATGCTTGGGTTGCCTCCCAAGAAGTGTTTGCTTTAACGTCCGCAGTCGGACGAATCTTTCCTTTAAACTCCCTTCGGCTCCAAAGCATGGAATTTATCTTTTAATGGGAGGTGATACTTGAAATGATTCGGCAATGGTTTAAATTCAAGAGTGGGTGCCTGAATCATCAAAATCAGAAACATGTTAGTATAAATTAAAATTTAAAATTGGAGAAGATGGCTTACTTTCTTTTTCCGACACAAACTCAATGACAAACACCACATCTTTGAACATTTCCGGGACTTTGAACTTGGCCAGGTTTACTATGATGGTTGTGGCTTGTCCCGTGTCATCAAACTCAACTGCTTTGGGCTTGATTGTCTCATGCACAGCCTCTTGGATGTATTCTTGATATGCTTCAACCACTTCATTTTCTTGAATCCCTTTTCTTGGTGTGCAAGGTTCTTTGAACGTTTCAATACCATCAGGAACTTGTTTTGGTGCACCAAGAATTGGGATATCACTTTGCACCTTTGGAAGAGCTTCCACAATGTCTTTTTCACTCTCTTTGATATTTGGAATAAAAAACCTGCAAGGACAAAGGACATTCGGTGGAATAATGTTAGAATAAAGTGAATTTAGAACTTCCTTACCTGAGTTGGATGACATAGGGATTTGAGGAGCTTGCAGCAAGAATTCTTCTAAACTGCCCAGGTCGTCCTCCTCCTCTTCTGCTTGCAGCAGCAATTCATCCATGGTCGGGCTGTGTTTGGATGGTTCTGGGACAGCTTCATCCTTCATGTCACCTTCCAAAGTGATGGCTTCATCGATTTCACTTTCTGCCTTTGAATTTGCAATGTTTGAGTTGGAAAATTCACTTTGATCTCGAATCTGTGCCATGAATTCCACAATCTGCCCAACTTGCATATCCAATTCGTCCACTCTTTTGACTCGGTCTTGCATCTCCTGGTTTTGATTTTCTACTCCCTGATTCAAAGAGGTGAGTAACTTATTAAGTGTATCATTATTCAAGGACGTACCTGAATTGAATTGGGCTGATTGTTGTGGTGGCTGTGACGGTTCATATGGCCACTGATAGAACTCTTCTGATGGCGGCAATTGTTCTTCTTTTTGTGAACCCTGCGTCAAAGAAATTAGTCCTTCAAGAATTTCATTATAATTCACGGGCCTACTTTGATTTGATTGGAATTGTTGTAGGGGATACTGTGGTGGCTGCATAGGTCTTGAATAGAACTCGTCTTGCTGCCAATATCCACCTTGTTGAAATTGTTGAGGTTCATCCCACATATAATCTGAATTACCTCTCCAATCTGAATTGCAAGCGTTGGAAAACATGTTGCCCCTTGATTGGTTATGGCCTTGATATCCCCAAACATCTTCATTTGCAAAAAATTGAGGACTTTGATATCCTTGCCCATAGGGCACATCAAGTGTAGGGACACTTGGCATTGTGGTCCTTTCGGCATTATGAGTCAATTGAGCAGTGAGCTGTGCCAATTGAGCTTGAATGGTCGCAAGTGCCATGTCTTGCTCCATTTGTACCTAAAATCAAAGAAAGAAAAATAAATCAAAAATCAAAAGTAAAATACACAAACACCAATGTAAACATAAACAAAAACAAAAATAAAGGGATTAGCAAAGTTGCTAATCCTCGGCAACGGCGCCAAAATTTGATGCGAAATATATAAGCACACAAATTAAACCCTCTTTTTGACAATTGTAGTAAAGTATGTAAGTAGGGTATCGTTCTAGGCCGGGGATTAGGAGGGATTGCTAATCTATTCTAAATTAATTTAAAAATATTAAACAAGACTCAAGGACACAAAACTAGGCTAAAAACTCTAATAACTCGAAACACACTTAGAATGACTCAACATAATGAAAACAATCACTTTAGACACTAGGAACTGAAATGGATGGAAATTGAATTAAAAGACTAACAACAATGAAAACTAACTAATAATATAATTTAATAATGGGGGGGGGTTTGGTTTTGACGAGAAGTAAATTAAACTTAAATAAATTACAGAATTGACAAAAGCATGAATTAAGGTGAAAGGATAGGTGACGGACTAGCTAGAGGGTTCTTCTCCACACATGACACATATGCAACCTAAATTGATTTTCAGTTATTCTTTCAATAAATTGTGAATGACAATGTTCCAAGTTAATTAGGTCCGCTTAAATTAACTCTTAGATTTCCCTAGATTCATTGGATTGAATGGAATACGCATTACAACCAAATTATTCCTCATCAAAGTCCCTAACTATGGAATACGCATGATAGAGACATTCAACAAAGATCATTAAGTTCAACGGAAATCATAACATTGACTAGGCATTCTTAACTATGGAATACACATGTTAATCCAGCCTAGAATTCACTTAACACGATTGTGGATAACAACCTTCACTACTTGTGAATATAAGTTCATAACGATTAGGTGAAATTCACTTATATTCTAGCATCAAATTCATGCATGTAAATTAAGTATGCATTCTTAATCGACATACAAAAATAAGTTATCAATCAAGCAGTTAAGCAAATTAAATCACAACTCAGAAATCACAACTGAAGGTAATCAATTCATATTACAAATATATTCATGGCTTTGAATTAACCTCTAGCCAAAATAAATTTAGTTACACATTATTTTCAAATTAAACCAAAAGTAAAACATGGGTTTGAGAAGATAAAACCAAGAAAAATGGAGTGAAACTTTGCTCTCTGTGTTGCTCCCGTTAGTTTCTCCTTGCCTTTGCCTTCTCTCCCCTCTGTCCTGCCTCTGCGAGCTGCCTTTCCTTCTGTCCAGTCAGCGCGTCTCTCCTCTCTCTCACGCTGCCAAAGGCAGCTTTTCTTCTTCCCCCTCCAGTCAGTCCATGCTGCTCCTTTATATCGTGTCCATGCACTGCCCTCTCTTCTTCTTTTCTTTCTGTCCGCACTCAGTCCCGCACTACCTCTTTCATTTTATATTTTTCTTTCTTTCCCAGCTGCTGTCCACTTCCTCTAACAGACTCTCTCCTATCTCCCGTCCCCTTTTTTATTTCTTTATTTTACTTTTCTTCTATTGCCAATGCTTTGCTGTATTTGTTGCCTTTCAGACAAAACCAAAGGGCAGCCTTAATCATTCATCATGATTTTATGCTTTATGCTCTTCTTTGTCATCTTTGTCTGCTTTCAATTCCAATCTGCAAGTTGTCGTCAGCTAGACCTTCCCTTACTCAAATGCCCATAACTTCTTCTAGAAAAATGATATTAACAATCCGCGAAATGTTCTAGAAAATAGACATCTGTAGCTTTCCAAGCATATAAGGCTAATTCTCTAATTCATTCTGAGCTGTTCGCAATTTTCTCCCAAAGTCAGCTGATCTACACATGCAGTTTTGACGAATTTATTACTTAAAATTTCACTTGTTCTATTTTTATTTTCTTTGCTAGACAAATCCTATAATACGCAAAAACAAAGTAAATAGCTCAATAATATAAGGAACTAACTAAGAAAAGACGAGTGAATTCGAAGTAAAAATATATATAAATATGATCCGATCAGAAAACTCGACATTACTTCGACTTGAAGTTTTGAGCTAGTTCTGATGGTATTTTGGTCCACCACTCGAACTAGACCGAAAAGATGTTATGTTCGAGTATACCCTGATCGTCTATACGCTAGATGCAAATGAGACCTTTACAGAGGATATGAAGCATAAGGTTACATATTGGAACATAAGGCAACCATATCTAAGTACAATTGCCACTTGTTGTACTTAGCTCAATGCATTAGATCGAACATCTTATGTGCTGATAATCTTTTGGCATAAAGTAGCACTGCGCCCACACGTTACCACCAAATTAGTGTTAAAGACGTTTTTTCATTACTACGGATTTGGGCTTATCTATCCCTATGCATCTTAGAATAAATCACACCTCCTTGATCTTCAAAATGATGCATACCTTGTGGGATTCGCCGAATCAGACTATCGATATGACCGCATAAGGTACATTCCCAAATGGTTATGTTTTTACCATTAAGGAACACTGCAATATCTTGGAGGTTAACCAAATAGACCTTTATTGCGGAACCTTTGAATCGTTCGAAGACTCACTATATCTCATCACGTGAAAGATACGATCACGAACTCTTGTTGAGCGTATTCGAACTCCTTGCAATCCGTATGTATCGACCAGATTATGATACATCCCAACAAGTCAACGCCAAGCATATTGTGCCTACATCAACATGAGCATCATAAAATTGAAGTCAAGCAATCTAATCCCAGACAACCTTGCCGACCTCTACACGACGTCACTGCTGAATTATACCTTTCAGAGGCTTGTATAAGGAATTGGTATGCTAACTTTCTCACTTACGATGCTTGTAGTTTCATTTGGAAGTTTTGTCAAATTTAAGGGAAATATCCAGAAGTATACTCACTTGACCTTAATGTACTCTTTTTCCTTACGATTACGAGCATTTTTCCTACTGGATTTTTGTTACCTGACTAGGTTTTAACGAAGCACCCATCCTGGGTTGGTCGTACCCTTGTGTACGTTCTACTTGGGTCCTGAAGACGTATAGTTTTGACTTAATGCAACTTCTTACTTTTCTCCACTCTCTTTCTCTCTATGTCGCACCCCTCAGTTAAATATAGGCCACAACAAAAACATATATGGTAAGTTAGGGAACACAAGTCCAAGCCCTATTTTAAATGTTTGTTTACAAGCCAGGATGATCCTCTTTGTGAGGATTCTTAAATCATGTCCGTTCATTGTATATTGTGTGGTCAATTTTCATCAGATACTATTTATATTTAATTTAAAATAATTTCTGACCATATAATTTACGATAAATTGATAGGAATTAAGAATATCCAGCATGAGTCCAAGCCATTTGGATTATGTAAACCTTCCATCTCAGTCGTACGTTTTTTCTTCCGCTTCCCAATAATTGTCATTCGCCATCGAAGAACCAGAAGAAGGGAAACTCGAACAATCCAAAGGGCCATCCCTTCTGGGCTTGTTTGCTTCAGGAAGTGTGTGCCTTTGGATTTCGATATCAGGAATGAGAGCAAGAGACTGATATCAAAGCAGAAATATTTTCTCACAGGTCAGTTGCTGTTCATCAAATATTCTTTTATTTTTTTCTTTCCATCTTTTGTTTTTGATTAGTTTCAATCGTTGGGTTGAGACCCATGCGTTACTTTCTTCTTTGGATTCTCAGGAGGGGCTCTCTGATTTTCTTTCCTGCAATCTGTTTTCCGTCGGATTTTGTTGCTGATTTTACATTTTCCTAGGAAAATCCTTGGAGTAGATCTGATTTTGCTTTCTGGGTCTTCCTTGTATTGCATGCATGGGGTAAGTTTTCTGACTCCTTTTTTGGATTTGGTAATTCCATTGGATTGAGTGGTTTAATGGGATTTCTGGGGTTTCTCCATTTTTGTTATCTTTGTGAGTTAATTAGATACTGTTGTACTTGATTTGGTTGGGAGGCGAGGAAGAGTAAATGGATTGCATTGTTGCGTCGAAAATTGATGAATCGGAATTGGGATTTTGGTTTTATACTGGAATTTTAGTTTTAGGAATTTCACCAACTTATTATGATTGTATGTGGTTAAGTAAAGTTAAGAATCATTTCAGACTGTATTCAATTTAGATTTTAATTTTAAATGAATCTGTCAAACTCTAGTAGTATTCAATCTTGATTTTTAAAGAGTCTGTCAAAATCTGGTGGTATTCAATCCCGAGTTCTTAAAAATGTTTCAAAATCTGGTTGTATTTAAAATTCAGTGAATTTGTAGGAATCTAGAAGTTGGAGGATTTTGGTGGATTCTAGAGTAGAAACTATAAATACCAAAAGCCCTCACAAATCATGCCTCTACAGCTCTACCCTAAGATTTCATTGTGATTCCTCCCTCTATAAAATACGAGCAGACTTGGATATGAACGAACTCTTCTTCTAAGCAGACATGTAGTGGTAACACGTCCAGAAATATACAAACTTCTTTTTCAAATTTTCTGTCTTCTTTGTATGGCCAAATCTTTATCTTGTTTCTCTTCAAGGAAGACAACAAGTAATCAACAATTTTCTTGTCTTCTACTCATGGCCAATTTTGTTTATTATTTGTTTTAGAGAACCCTAAAATCCCAATTCAACTTGATCAATTTCTAATCATCAATTTCCTTGCCTAATCTTTTTTTGTATTCAATTTCCTTGCCTGATCTTGGTATGCCATAATCACCCATATACATGTTTTACTTGGCAATATCACTCCCCTTCATCACTGAAGAAATCTTCCCTTCTTGTTTGCTTTCCTTTTGGCATCCTCATTGTGACTTTTGGAGACACTTATTTACTTGATAGGATCCTCCATAAATGCTATAAAAGCTTCATTAATATCCACTAAACTTCATAACAAAATCCATATAAAATTTCTTAAAAATTCATGTGGAGTCTAAGTGAATCCATTAAAATTCATGTGGAGTACATATGAATCCATTAAAATTCAGACTCCGATTCTGTTAAAATACATCAAAATTTCAATTGAGTACACCCCTCTTAGTCTTTTGTGAAAACAGAGAGACATGGCATTTGGGAATTTATACAGTTGGACTCGATAAAAAAGTATCAATAGTTGAATTCAGTTAGATTAAAGTCAATTCAATCAGATGCCAATCGGCAAAGATTTAACATCTCTTTGGTCATTGGGATGTTGATTGAATGACTATATTTGGATGATATCTAATAGAGCCGTTGCATAATGTTTCTTTTGTTGAATTGGCTTTTGGAATTTGGCTGTAAGCATATTCTGATTAAGAGTTTTAGCAAAGTACTCTTGGCTAGTACTGATACCAGGAGCTGGAGTAATGTCAGTGCGATGGAATTGTGTTCTTTTTTGCTTATTTTGAGCCCTTTTTAATTATCGTCAAGGACATTTTTCTGTTCAGTGGTCACTTCATACTATACATGCCAGTTCTTATCATTTTGAAGGGAAAAAAAAGTTTTTTTTTTTTTTTAAATTTAAATTTAAATTTTTTTATCTTTTCCTTTTCTATTGTTTGGAGAAACTTTCTTGGGGTGATGGTTTGCAAATTTATCATGGGGACTTTGACTAGGGTCCTGTAGTTTTTACTGTATTGTACAGGTTTGGTTTTATGTTTAGTTAGTATTGTTGGTGTTGTTAAATTTTAGAATTATTATTTTTATTTCTAACAGAATGAGATGTGGTTTGTAACAGAGCAGTGGTTGTCTAGCATGCCATAGTAAGACCGCACTGAAAACTTCAGTGAATGAGCCACCGAAAGGGTTATTAAACGAAGGTCGGACTGTAAAGAAACCAAGCATATCAGAGGATTTTTGGACCACCAGCACGTGGGATATGGACAACAGTGCAGTTCAGTCCAAGGGAAGCATCTTATCAATCAGCACAAACCAGACCCTTGATCTGCATGGTGGCTCTGGCAGCAGTAGCACCCCTGCCGAATTTGTAAATCATGGCAAGTTTTTTATTTATTTGTTTTTCTTATGTTTTTATCAATTTCTGGGAATTTTATGTTCAAATTTCTGAGATAGTTTCTGCACGTTGGAAATTGGTTTAATGACTCACTATCAGGTGGGTCTTATACGGACTCTTCATGGACATTCCAAAGGACAGCTGCTTTGGCAGTATGATCATTACCTGTAATGGAGTCAAATAATTATGTGTTACTAGTAGCCCGTTTCTCAATTTTTTCTGAACTTTTGCCTACCAAATTTCATTGCAGATGTGATCTAGCAAGGTTTTATTTACAGTCACTGTGCTTTCTATGATTTCAAGAATGGTTAAACACTGTTGTTCTTGTCAGTTTTTGTATCTTGCTATAGCATGTTTTTTTTTTTTTTTTTTTTTTGCTTTGACAAATGTGTGTGTGTGGAGCCTTGTTAAAGTTATATTACATGGTATCTGTGGTGCAGGTCTTCTTCTGTGGAGCCAGACTAGGCACCTTTGGGTAGGGAATAAAAAGTCTGAGAGCCCGTCAAAGAAAATTCGAGAACCCAAATTAGGGTAGGTTGCTTCGTCTATTCTTTATCGACTCAAACTCATTGTACCTCTTATGTTTAGATCTGCCAGAAAGAATTATTTTGCTCATTGGACCTCTTACTTATGTTAGACAATTGAGGACAATTTCACATTTTCATCAGTGCATTGTACAAAAATAAACAAATTAAAAGTATTTTTTCCCCAATAATGCTAGTTTTTTATTTATGATAACACTATACAAGGATTTCTTCATTCTAAGTTTCGTTGCATGTCATAAATGGGAACTGGGAAGTTGTCCAAGCACGTTGAGTGCTTGGTTCACTGTAAGGTGTAAAGTGGGCAATGGGTATTCATGAGTACCTTTCTGTACATTGTCAGCACTCATTGTCTCAGCATGGTTAAATTATTCTGCCTTTGCAGTTGGAATGCGTCGTATGAAAGTTTACTTGGGAGTACAAAGCCTTTCCCTCAGCCTATTCCTCTCCCAGTGAGCCCCTGCCCCTGCCTGCCCGCTGTTATCCCTGCACACTATCTAATTTTTTTTCCTGGTTCCGACATTAACAGGAAATGGTAGATTTTCTCGTGGATATTTGGGAGCAAGAAGGGTTGTACGATTGAGCGGCAAAGGTACTAGAGATTTTTAAGTAGGCTAGAAGTTGATTCAAGTGTATGTAACATCATTACTGCCTCCCAGAAAATAGGAAGCAATAGCATGGCTTGTACGTGATCAACTATCACATCATTTTGTTCTTGCTTGTTCTTGGATTTTAACTTCCGGGGCCTTTTAGTCGCGCCCTTTTGTTACTATTCAAACTGATTTTACAGGATTGGTTTCTTCCACTGCTCTTTGTGGCCGGCTTTGCAAGACTAAGATGACCTTTGTCTACACTTCCGTTTCGTTTTCACCCTCCTCCCCCTTGCGGTATCTGCGTGCTTCGGTGTTCATTTCTGTTTATATTTGGGACCTAACAAGTAAAAAGGAATACTATAGACAGTAGGACTAAGTGGCTATGTTCTTTAATATATGAAATTATATTTTTATCGAGTCCTTCTATCCAATAAATGATTTTCCTGGGCAAGCCTTCGTTGCATGTAATTTTGGGGGTAATTGTCAAAACGTCATTTCATTTATGATTAAAAAAAAAAATTAATGTTGTTAGCGCTCTAAAAATCTTATTAGCTATCCAACCAAATCGGAAATTGGATAAGTAAAATAGGTGGTACACGTAGGTTATTTTCAATACGAGATTCAAAATGCCTTGAAGTTGGCATTTTACATCTTTTTTATTTGCCGAAAAATGTAAATTATCTATCTTCATCGAAAGATTAAATAAAAATCTAAATTTAACGTCATTATTACTTCTTTTGGTGCGAGTCTCACTAATCAAAGAGTAAATAAGATCTCAAATTTACATTCTTCCCATTGGAGTAGATTTGTCATTACATATGCAGGAAATATAATGTGGGATGTAAATAAGTTTATGGCATCTCAAATTGCAATCCCCAATTGGAGATGCCTTATAGCTTAAAGCATCTCCAAGGGAAGTTCTAAATTTTTGTTAAACTAGCAAGTGAATAGTCAAACAACTATTTTTGCTACTCAGTTAATTCAAACTCAACCTGCTCATTTTCTAAAACAGCTACTCTCTCTACCTTTTCTCATTGCTCAACAGTCCACCCTTTCAATATTTAACTAATGAACAGTTGCTCTGTAAATTTAAAGAGTGAGTATTCGTTTTGCTATAATAGACGCTCTTTTCTAGAGTTGGTTGGAGATATATTTTTTATTTTTGTTTAATTTGACTCTTTAAAATAGAGTTTTGGTTGTAAAAATTTTACAGCATCTTTATGAGATGCTCTAAACGAATAAGAGCTGAACGCTTAAAAGTGTACAAGTGCCAGCTTGATACTTTGTAGGAAATGACCAAAAAGAAGGTAAGTGAAAGCCAAGGTTGTCACTTCCCCACGAACAAAGTTGCTCATTGTGTTAGATGGGGATTGTACAGATGGATAACTAACTCCAATCTGATACCTGCAATACAATATAACATATTATACACATGTGTATATGTATGTATGTATGTATGTATGTATGTGTGTGTGTATACAATATAACATATTATACACGTGTATATGTATGTATATATGTATGTATGTATGTATATACTGTGTGTGTGTGTGTAGGGATGGGCAAAATACCCGCGGTTATGGATAACCGCGGTTACCCGCCCATTTAAACTTCACGGTTACGGTTATGGGTAACCGTTTAGATTATTAAACGGTTATGGGTATAACTGTTTACCCGTGAAATTTAAATGGGTGGTTATGAGTATTAACCGCGGTTATAAACGGGTAACCGTTTACCTATTTATTTTATATATGTAATGTTGAATATTTAAAAAAAAAAAAAAAAAAATATATATATATATATATATATATAGACACACGCATACGGGGCTGTTTGACAAGGGATGGGAATATATATATACACACACACACACACACACACACACAAACACATACGAGGCTGTTTGATAGGGGATGGGAAGTTGGGTTATTAACCCAACAATCACCTCTCTTCAATTTGAATACTGCATCTTTCTATTATTATTTTTTTTTTTATGGAAAACTGGAACAACAGAACCTGGGCTAAGAAGCCAACCAAACAGAAAGCCAACACAAGGCAAACAACAAGCAGAAGCTAGAAAATCCTTGCAGGGATTAATATTATGACAATTTTTTTTTTAATTTTCAAGTTGTTAAAAAACATATAGACGGATGAAAAAGGGGTTATGGTTAAAAAAAAAAGGATAAATGGGTTAAAAAGGGTAAATGGGTAAACGGGTATTAAACGGTTACGGTTAAATGGGTATGGTTAACCGTTTATAAATGGTTATGGGTATGGATATAACTTTTTAGGCAATTACCCAATGGGTAAACGGTTATGCGGGTATGAGCATAAACGGTTATGGGTAAATAACCGCGTTTACCCGCCCGCCATAACCGTTGCCCATCCCTGTGTGTGTGTGTGTGTGTGTAAGAGTATTCTCTTTGAAACCGAGTCAATAACCATTAAACCCATCACTAGTCATACATATGAAAACAACATCCTCTGTGTGTGTGTGTGAGTATTCTCTTTGAAACCGAGTCAATAACCATTCAACCCTTCACTAGTCATACATATGAAAACAACATCCTTTACCATAATTTTCACATTGGAAAAATCATGACAGAAAAGGAATGAGGAATCCCCATTTATAAACACAAGTCCCTTCATACTCAACCACCAAATATTCCAGTATAATTATTATGATTACATCAATGCATGGACCAACATTTCCCTCTATCAGAATGAGGATTCAGTCACTCTTGGTTTATCAACTTCGACAAGAAATTTCAACCAATACTCCTAGCTTGGTTCTCCAAGTGGTGGTCAGTTCATGGCCCAACAACAGTCTCATCCCATAATTGTTCATGCACATTGTCAACCATTTCCAGTCAAGATTTGATAGAAGTCAGTTCAATAAGAAAATACTTCTTTTAATTTTCATTGCCAAATATGAAGTTCCATGATTTCAAAATGGACGTATGAATCAGACAATGAAGAAGTTCATAGAGTCAGATCAGTGAAATGGTGGGACAAGTTCCATGAGCAAAGAATCATCGATCAGGTTCTCAATGAATTCCCTATTAACTCACAACCAGTTGTTGCAACACAATCATTATCAGACATCTCCCCATCTTCCTCACTGGTGGGACTAGTTCCATGAGCAAAGAATCATCGATCAGGTTCTCAATGAATTCCCTATTAACTCACAACCAATTGTTGCAACACAATCATTATCAGACATCTCCCCATCTTCCTCACTAAAAGGAAAATCAAAATCTTCCAAGTCATCAACATCGAACCACAAAGTTGTAGAAATTGAAGACCTTGGGCAAAAAAATTTCGTTTAAGCAGCACAGTTACAGTCACAAACAGCTCTATTACTGTTGCAATTAAACCAGCCTAGCTAGTCTGATGAAGACAAAGAATCTTCAAATGCATCATCACAACAACTAATAAAGCCAAACAATCAAAATACCAGGTGGGCCGACTACCATGATGCACAAGATCAATTCAAATTATCAAACCATGTGAATCACAAGTTAGCCATCATGTGAAAGTCACCATGTGAAGCACAAGTCAATCATCACATGAAACACAAGTCAGTCACCATGTGAAACACAGTCAGTCACCACGGGAAGCACTCAGGCCATCATGTGAAGCAAAGTTAGTCACCATGTGAAACACAATCAGTCACCACATGAAGCACTCAGTCACCACGAAATTGCAACAATTATTCAGGCATTTTACTATTCATAAGAAAAAAGTAGCAGCTCCCCATGATTCAATAGTAAAAAACTTAATCATTCAAGTTTCTTTTCTTAAATCTATAAAAGAAAGGTTCCAAGGAAGAAGTTAAACAAGTTAATTTCCAAATCTTTTCTGTAGTCAAAATTTTCTTTGAGTTCTCATTATATTTAAAGAAAACAAACACTGCAAACACTTTAATTTTTAGAAGAAGAAGGATGTCTGCGTGCACCAATTTTCAGTCCATTTAGTAAATTGTACCACAGTCAACATTTGTAAGTCTTTCAGATTTACAAAAGAAGTAATTTCAAAAAATCTATTTTCAATAATTATATTGCATCATTAATTTAAATTCATTATTTTCATTATAATATAAATGAAGTACAAGTAAATCTGTAGACATGTAAATTTCGTTGCATGCAAATAATGCATCACAAAGCCCCACGTGACATATGACTCATCACAAATGGACAAGTTATCAATGACATGTGGCACAAATCAAGCAAAGGAATCTCAAAAGCATTCCTAAAATGCGGCAAAGGGGAAGAAATCTCCTTAAAATCAGCAAGGGGCCCAAATTGCTCCCAAAACCGAAGTGAAAACTAAAGCATCTTCACAAAACAAGCAAGAATTGAAGACTGTTTGCAAAATAGGCAACAAAGCTCTATAGATTTCGGCCAAGCAAGGGAAAGGGGCTGAAATTAAGACACAAAACATGCCTAAATTCTCCCATGGACAAATCAAGACACAAATCAAAGCCAAATCCATCTAAAGGCAAGCTTTGAGAAGTCTATAAATACAAGGTCCTAGGACAAACAAAGGTCGATAATTTCTACATTCAGAATTCTCACACAAGGAGAACCTCTGCCAAATCTTTGAAGACTAATATGCTGCCAAAGCTCTCTTCGAATAACGTACAACCAAAGCCGAAACATTCAATTGAAGAATTAATAAACACTTGTGCCGATTCCTTCAAGACTTTGTTACAAGCTCAAAACTTGTAACGAAGTTCGATTCAAGATCAAGTCACCAAGACCCTTGAATCAATAAAGTCTACATCCACATTACCTTTGCCACAACCGTAAACCTGTGGTGAAGACTATCGACGCATTATTTCAAGCTCAAAACTTGAAGCAATCGTTCAATCGTTCGTTCAAGATTAAGTCATCGTGACCCTTCGATCAACAACCTACTATTCAACATCAAATTTAAAGGCTGAATCAAAGGAAAATTGTAAACAGAGATTGTAACTCTACAAATTCATCAATACATATCTACTTTGTACACGTGTTCTTGTTTCATTCGATACAGAATTTTCATGTTTACAAATTTGGCTCGCCTGGTGGGACATTTCTGCCTCTCGTCTCTGTCTTCAAATCCGCGAAAAGCACAAATGGCATCAAGAAAGGATCAACCTGTTCCCGCAACCAACAGGAAGAACAAGAACATCCTTGTCGGCAAAAGCTTTCTCTGCCGTGCCCTTCACTCCTACATCAACCCTGCTGAAGGAGTAAGAGTACTCGAGGCACGAGTCTGTGATCACCCTGGCTTCGCTAAGGGCGCTAAGGGAAGAAAGCCCGATGAGGTACTCCAAGTCGTTAACTTCTGATGCTGACTCAAGCAGCAGCTCATATCCCGTAGCCATGCAAATCATGACTACTGGTACGATTTCCATTGAAGAGCAGCTAACA